GATTACTAGAGCTGATATCGTGACAAACGGGGATTATGCAATATACAGTTTGAGCTAACGATGTCGTGAAGGGCCAGGCTGTCGTCGAGGTTATGGCGCAATTAGCACCATGGTCATGGTAAGTGTGGGAGGACTTCAGCTGCGACGCATCGACACGTAGAGATAGATCTCTTCCCCACTCTGTGCTCCTCTGAAGGTGAACTGTTGAACATTGTGTGTTGGCCCAGAGATGATCTGTTGAACATGCGGTCTTGCAGAGCCACTTGCACACGTCCACCAAAATAAGTTTTCCAGCGTGTATTCAGGACGCTGATGTGGCAAATGGCACCGTGCCTCAGATGATGCTGGCACTGCAGCTGGAACCAAGAATATTGGCACCACGTCCAGTAGTGACACAGATGAAGATGAGAACAGCTTCAACATCTCAGATGAAGATGAGAACAGCTTCAACATCTCAGATGAAGATGAGAACAGCTTCAACATCTCAGATGAAGATGAGAACAGCTTCAACATCTCAGATGAAGACGAGAACAGCTTCAACATCTCAAATGAAGATGAGAACAGCTTCAACATCTCAAATGAAGATGAGAACAGCTTCAACATCTCAGATGAAGATGAGAACAGCTTCAACATCTCAGATGAAGATGAGAACAGCTTCAACATCTCAGATGAGGATGAGAACAGCTTCAACATCTCAGATGAAGATGAGAACAGCTTCAACATCTCAAATGAAGATGAGAACAGCTTCAACATCTCAAATGAAGATGAGAACAGCTTCAACATCTCAAATGAAGATGAGAACAGCTTCAACATCTCAGATGAAGATGAGAACAGCTTCAACATCTCAGATGAAGATGAGAACAGCTTCAACATCTCAGATGAAGATGAGAACAGCTTCAACATCTCAGATGAAGATGAGAACAGCTTCAACATCTCAGATGAAGATGAGAACAGCTTCAACATCTCAAATGAAGATGAGAACAGCTTCAACATCTCAGATGAAGATGAGAACAGCTTCAACATCTCAGATGAAGATGAGAACAGCTTCAACATCTCAGATGAAGATGAGAACAGCTTCAACATCTCAGATGAAGATGAGAACAGCTTCAACATCTCAGATGAAGATGAGAACAGCTTCAACATCTCAGATGAAGATGAGAACAGCTTCAACATCTCAAATGAAGATGAGAACAGCTTCAACATCTCAAATGAAGATGAGAACAGCTTCAACATCTCAGATGAAGATGAGAACAGCTTCAACATCTCAGATGAAGATGAGAACAGCTTCAACATCTCAGATGAAGATGAGAACAGCTTCAACATCTCAGATGAAGATGAGAACAGCTTCAACATCTCAGATGAAGATGAGAACAGCTTCAACATCTCAGATGACAGCTTCAACATCTCAGATGACAGCATCAACACACTAAATGAAGATAGCATCAACACTCCTGGAGTGTTGATGCCTTCGGTAATGACAACACTCCTGGAGGATAGCATCAACACTCCTGGAGGATAGCATCAACACTCCTGGAGGATAGCATCTACACTCCTGGAGGATAGCATCAACACTCCTGGAGGATAGCATCAACACTCCTGGAGGATAGCATCTACACTCCTGGAGGATAGCATCAACACTCCTGGAGTGTTGATGCCTTCGGTAATGACAACACTCCTGGAGGATAGCATCAACACTCCTGGAGGATAGCATCAACACTCCAGGAGGATAGCATCAACACTCCTGGAGGATAGCATCAACACTCCTGGAGGACAGCATCAACACTCCTGGAGGACAGCATCAACACTCCTGGAGGATAGCATCAACACTCCTGGAGGATAGCATCAACACTCCTGGAGGATAGCATCAACACTCCTGGAGTGTTGATGCCTTCGGTAATGACAACACTCCTGGAGGATAGCATCAACACTCCTGGAGGATAGCATCAACACTCCAGGAGGATAGCATCAACACTCCTGGAGGATAGCATCAACACTCCTGGAGGACAGCATCAACACTCCTGGAGGACAGCATCAACACTCCTGGAGGATAGCATCAACACTCCTGGAGGATAGCATCAACACTCCTGGAGGATAGCATCAACACTCCTGGAGGATAGCATCAACACTCCTGGAGGACAGCATCAACACAGTGTTGCGTGTCCTTCAATGGTGGGTTTTCTCTTCTTCTCAATTCGTTATTCTTCATCTGTAAGGATCTTTATTTTGCTGGTATTTCTCCCTGTTTCCTTGTGCCTTTCCGCCCTTTCTTATTCCCTTCCCTACCTTCCTCTCTATCTTCTACTCCACCCTTCTCTCTCTCTCTCTCTCTCTCTCTCTCCCTCTCCCCCTCCCTCCCTCTCTCTCTCTCATGGACACATAATGTCTTTGGTTCTCAAGTTGAGAGAAACTGGTTACACATGTTGGGGTCACACATGTTACACATGCTGGGGTCACACATGTTACACATGTTGGGGTCACACATGTTACACATGTTGGGGTCACACATGTTACACATGCTGGGGTCACACATGTTACACATGCTGGGGTCACACATGTTACACATGCTGGGGTCACACATGTTACACATGTTGGGGTCACACATGTTACACATGTTGGGGTCACACATGTTACACATGTTGGGGTCACACATGTTACACATGTTGGGGTCACACATGTTACACATGCTGGGGTCACACATGTTACACATGTTGGGGTCACACATGTTACACATGTTGGGGTCACACATGTTACACATGCTGGGGTCACACATGTTACACATGTTGGGGGTCACACATGTTACACATGTTGGGGGTCACACATGTTACACATGTTGGGGTCACACATGTTACACATGCTGGGGTCACACATGTTACACATGCTGGGGTCACACATGTTACACATGCTGGGGTCACACATGTTACACATGTTGCGGTCACACATGTTACACATGTTGGGGTCACACATGTTACACATAACTGGAGGTCGGGGAGGTGGTAGTGAAAGAGGGAGGGGGGGGGGGGTGAGGTGTTGAATATATACTTAAGGGGACTAATTACACGGTTAAGAGGGTAGATTGCACAGGTGAGTGGATAACCGATTACCTAACTAAAGGATTAATTACACATACGACTGATCAACATTCGAACGAGATGACTAACGCGATTTCAGGTTTAAATTACACCAGCGCGAGATTGGACACCGCTTGGAGGCTTACCTGAGCCAAAGATGGGATGATACTAACGCAAACAGGATCGAAATGACTGAAGAGGGATCCAGGTACCACGAGGCTGAGCTCCTCAGAGATTGATATTGATCCAACCGAAATATAATTCTCGGCACAGGCATAAGAAGGTACAACTCGTCAATTTTTTACTAAGTTATTTTATACATTATTTTTGGATTAATTGTAGGTGAGGGATTATTATGTATAGGGAAGTAGACGAGTGGAGGGTGATTACGTTATAATAGTCTAAAAAAAACTCTATTTTATGTTAAGAAAACGTAAACGTGTGAACAGTTTGAACTTGTGAACTACAGAAATACTTGTGAACAGTGGAAGACAGACCCAAGAGATTTAGTAACAACGATTTTGATTGGTTCTTGTGTTTAATGGGGATGGGCTATAAACTCACTCCAAGTGAAGGGTCGAGGGAGATTAGTCCGGTGTGTGTGTGTGTGTGTGTTTGGCGCTGGGCCTTAAGTTGTAAGATGTTAATCCCTTGTTTGACCTGAGACAGTGAGGTAAGCACCAGCTGCGTCTGGGTACAAGTGACAAAATGAATAACCCAGCTGGTTTTCTTTCTATCGGGGCTGATGTACATGATGCTAAAGCATTGTGATATCACGGGTATGATATCCCGTTTAGTTTAGTCATGAGTGGTCTATAGTCACAGTGACGGGGTCAGGTCAGGTCACGAGGGATGTTGTGGTCTTTCAAGCACCTTCTTGAGGTTATCTTGAGATGATTTCGGGGCTTTAGTGTCCCCGCGGCCCGGTCCTCGACCAGGCCTCCACCCCCAGGAAGCAGCCCGTGACAGCTGACTAACACCCAGGTACCTATTTTACTGCAAGGTAACAGGGGCATAGGGTGAAAGAAACTCTGCCCATTGTTTCCTCGCCGGCGCCCGGAATCGAACCTGGGACCACAGGATCACAAATCCAGCGTGCTGTCCGCTCGGCCGACCGGCTCCCTCCCGACCTTATGCATGGTTCTCAACTGATGGACCTCAAAAGAAGAAGGACATGAAGAAGAAAGAAACAAACAAATAAAAACTAAAGCCAGACCCTAGATGGTTACCACTTGAGCGGCAACTGGCGAACGTAAGCGCTTGAGCAACGAATAAGGCGAAGGGGCGAGAGAGCGCTTGAGCGAAGAGTTACTGATGTGTTGATAGTGAGCAGGAGTTCTCCAGGCTGGTACACACTACCCCATTGTTCGTGGCCGTGCACCCTCCCTCCCAGCACCTGCTGCCCACGCCACCTCAACCCCTAGCCTCCACACACCTGCTCCACCTGCTCCCACACCTGTGAGTTACGGTTACCTCACACTACGTAGTACTGTGAGTTAACCGTAACTCACGTACTCACTAAGTACTCACAGTAACCGTTACTGTGCGTACTTAAAAGTACAGTTCTAGGACCCGTACTATTCTATATTATGTCAAGGACCTGACCACAGGAGTAGAGTATTAACATGCCAATGATAACGTCAAACTAATGAGAATACTCGGGACAGATAAACACTGCAGACTAATCCACGAAGACATATAAGTTCCAGAATTGGTTTGAGAAATGGCTACTGGAATTCAATGCTCATAAGTGTAATGTCATGATCATAATGACCGAACATAGGCGAACCAGAGGGCGAGACACAATGAAAGAAAACCACTAAACTGAATCAAATAAAGGAAAATGCCAAAGAGTAGATATACCCACAATTCTTTTACTAAAAGTACACACAGATATAATAATATCAACGGCAAATACGAAACTGATGAACAGGAAAATACATCTTTAGAAATCAATGGAGGCAAATTTAATTTTTTAAAATTTCGCCCCGAGGGGCGAGTTTATTGGGCAGCGCCACTCATCTTGTGAGTGGACACACCGCCATAGCAGCATGTACAATACTCCCCAATAGGAAGAAAACCCGATGGAGGCATTCGGAGCGTTGTCCATCCAGCCCGTTCGCTAACTTTCCCTTCCGTCAATAATGCAGTGGAATAGCCTAATTTTAAACGTCAAAGCCTAGGCTATATAATATATATATATATATATATATATATATATATATATATATATATATATATATATATATATATATATATATATATATATATATATATATATTTTTTTTTTTTTTTTTTTTTTTTTTTTTTGAGATATATACAAGAGTTGTTACATTCTTGTACAGCCACTAGTACGCGTAGCGTTTCGGGCAGGTCCCTGGAATACGATCCCCGCCGCGAAGAATCGTTGTTACAACCAAGTACACATTTTACTGTTGAGTTAAACAGAGGCTACAGTTAAGGATTTGCGCCCAGTAAATCCTCCCCGGCCAGGATACGAACCCATGACAAAGCGCTCGCGGAACGCCAGGCGAGTGTCTTACCACTACACCACGGAGACATATAGTCTATAAAAGCGTCAATACGGTGTTGGGGCAATGACCTTCTCTTTAAAGTGAAAGCAAAGTAGAACAAAGGGGACACGTATGGAAGCTGGAAACGCAAATGAGTGGAAGAAATGCATGGAAACACTTGTTCCCTGCGCGGATGCCCAACGGGTAAATGCACGGAAGGAAGAAGCTGTAAAAGCCACCTCCAACTACAAGGAGGGTCGCAGGCGGGGCATAAAGAGCTAGAGCTCACTGCTCCATAGTGCGTTATGTGTGACGTGTTGAGAGAGCAGTCGACACTGACCTGGAGGCAACCACTGACCTCCAACACTTCACCTTATGGCTGGGTTACACTCTTGCAGGTGTTGTGTCAACCAACATTACTTGCAAAACAAAAGAATAAACAGCAAGTTTACATAATGTCTGCATGAGCAACACTACCTACATTGACCATTAACCCCCAGAGGAGCAGGAGCAGGAGGAGCAGGAGCAGGAGGAGCAGGAGCAGGAGGAGCAGGAGGAAGAGGAGCAAGAGGAGGAGGAGGAGCAAGAGGAGGAGAAGCAGGAGGAGCAGGAGGAAGAGGAGGAGGAGCAGGAGCAGGAGGAGCAGGAGCAGGAGGAGAAGGAAGAGGAGCAGGAGGAAGAGAAGCAGCAGCAGCAGGAAAATGGCATCTGGATGTCCCCAGATGAAGATATAAATAAATAAAGCAAGTGTGTCGACACACTCTTGTAAGCGAGTAAGGAACTCTTTTTAGAGCCCCTTACTCCCTTACAAGAGTGTCTCGCTTAATTTTTATAATAAACACTACCACAGACCAGTCTGCTTCCCAGAGACCAGTCTGCTTACCACAGACCAGCCTGCTTACCACAGACCAGCCTGCTTACCAGAGACCAGTCTGCTTACCACAGACCAGCCTGCTTACCACAGACCAGCCTGCTTACCAGAGACCAGTCTGCTTACCACAGACCAGCCTGCTTACCAGAGACTAGTCTGCTTACCAGAGACCAGTCTGCTTACCACAGACCAGTCTGCTTACCACAGACCAGTCTGCTTACCACAGACCAGTCTGCTTACCAGAGACCAGCCTGCTTACCAGAGACCAGCCTGCTTACCAGAGACCAGCCTGCTTACCAGAGACCAGCCTGCTTACCAGAGACCAGCCTGCTTACCAGAGACCAGCCTGCTTACCACAGACCAGCCTGCTTACCACAGACCAGCCTGCTTACCAGAGACCAGCCTGCTTACCACAGACCAGCCTGCTTACCACAGACCAGCCTGCTTACCAGAGACCAGCCTGCTTACCACAGACCAGCCTGCTTACCAGAGACCAGCCTGCTTACCACAGACCAGCCTGCTTACCACAGACCAGTCTGCTTACCACAGACCAGTCTGCTTACCAGAGACCAGCCTGCTTACCAGAGACCAGCCTGCTTACCAGAGACCAGCCTGCTTACCACAGACCAGCCTGCTTACCAGAGACCAGCCTGCTTACCAGAGACCAGCCTGCTTACCACAGACCAGCCTGCTTACCAGAGACCAGCCTGCTTACCAGAGACCAGCCTGCTTACCAGAGACCAGCCTGCTTACCACAGACCAGTCTGCTTACCACAGACCAGTCTGCTTACCAGAGACCAGTCTGCTTACCAGAGACCAGCCTGCTTACCAGAGACCAGCCTGCTTACCACAGACCAGCCTGCTTACCAGAGACCAGCCAGCTTACCAGAGACCAGCCTGCTTACCACAGACCAGCCTGCTTACCACAGACCACCAATATGAGCATAAGGAAGGCCAACAGGAGGATATGTGCTGTACACAAAACTCTGCTCACTATCCAGAAAGACTAAATAACCAGGAATCCCTAACACCATTCCAAGGTATTTGATTGGAATGGAAATATGTTATATTTGATTCAATAATTATCCTCATAGCTACGAGGGATCAAATTCTCTTTTGGAAGTGTTTGTGAGGACGCCATTGACGCTTCACACTAATCCCTCTCTAATGATGATGTCACTCTAAGCCAAAACTAATGACTATAAGCTTGAGGAATAAAACATTTTCCTCTAATTCTAAGTCATCAAGAGCCAGCTCAAAACAGGCAACAATGATAGAAACAAAGCTTATGAAATTTAGATTCAGAGTATGAAATATTATTTTAGATGTGCGCCGTACAAGCTCAGGCCTCGCCAGGAATGATAAGATGTTAAATGATTATCCAGGAAACGAGGAGGGACTCCATCTAGCGTGGTTACACCCCCCCTCACACCCCCTTGGTGCCTCACTGCTGTTCACAGCTGGAGGGATGGTAAGGGGAAGGAGGGAAGAATAGTTGGAGGGAGCGAGGATGGCAGGTGAGGCGAGGGACTGATGGAAGGGAGAGAAAGAAGAAATGGCGGGAAGCAAGATGGAAGGTGAACATTGGTCTCAGTTGAAGAGGCGATGAAGGTTAGCCATAGCGCGCATACGAGCCAAAATTGACGTTATTTTTAAGAGGACGGGTTGGGCAGAGAGAACACTAATGTCACGATACATCACCTGGACAAGACAGGACACAGGACGGTCGGTATAACAGTGACATCAATACAACATCTCTCAGAGAGCGTTCAAGTCCCACACCGACTCCTGCCAGTCAAATACGATGCTTAGCGCTGCTCAATATAAAGTCAACAACGCACACCTTCGGACAAGAGAATTACAAGAGCGTGATATATCTGAAAAACTATGGAGGCCGTACACTCGAACCCGAGTCCCTGGACCACTCCAGTCCCATGCATTACAGACTGAATTTAGAGCTCAACAGTATGTTGCCCAGATGTTCTAACTTACTTGGAGCTCACCATGGTTCAGTCGGTAATGCGTGGGCTAGGGGAGTACAGGGATTCAGGTTCGACCCCATGTCGAACAATATTTTCCAAAGCACCTTTAATTGAGATCTGAGGGTGAAGTGTATGGAGAGGAACGAGACGACACATTTAAGAACACTAGATGATGTGTGCTGAGTGCTGTGACACCTGACCACTCGTTGAGTGGTCGAGTGAAGGTCAGCAGGAAGGACCCGCGGGACACAAGCTCAGCTACTGGACCACGGCAGACACCAGCTGGTGTCTTGCGCCATTTGGCACCACCACAAGTCCAAGTCTTCCGGTATCCAACGAAAAATATCATGATGGCCAACTGGGAGAAAATCTCACCACTGCTCTACCCACACCCCAATAACCCAGAGGGAGTACGGTACATAAACGCTATCAGATCTCTACAGGACGAAGGCAGGTTATAAAAGGTCTTGGGACCTAATATAAGACGTCCTGTACAAGCAAGGCGCTGCCAGGTGTATAATAGGGCGGATTATTATGTAAACAAGACATGCTATGCCACTATTGACATGCCGCAGTCATGCCTCCTCTTCAAGTATTTAATTGGGAAAATTAGTAAATTTATGTGTATTATATTTCGATGATTACTTCGCCCAAGTTTGGGGTCAGAGGAGCTGTACAGCCGCCAGCAGTCTGTACAACGCGCGGGAGATCATCCACACAATGGAAATAAAATACCTTGAGTGCGCGTTGTTAGCTACACGGTGGGATTGGCTCGATTAAACAAGGTTGTAATTTCGCTTTATGGTTACTATGCTGCCTCTAATAATTGGTGGCACACACACGCTAGGAGGGCATCGCGGCTGAGTGGACAACACTCGGGGGTCGTAGTCCTAAGGGTCCTGGTTCGATTCCCGGCAGAGGCAGAAACACATTGGCAGTTTCTTTCACCTTGGTGCACCTGTTCATCTAGCAATAAATAGGTACCTGGGAGTTAGACAGCTGCTACAGGCTGCATCCTGGGGATGTACTCACCTAGTTGTGTTTGCGGGGGTTGAGCTCTGGTTCTTTGGTCCCGCCTCTCAACTGTCAATCAACTGGTGTACAGATTCCTGAGCCTATTGGGCTCTATCATATCTACATTTGAAACTGTGTATGGAGTCAGCCTCCACCACAACACTACTTAATGCATTCCATTTGTTAACTACCCCTGACACTGAAAAAAGTGTGTGTGTTTGTTAGAGAAATATATGTAGTAGATATAATAGAGGAAAATAAATTGGTTAGAAAGGCGGGGTCCAAGAGCTAATAGCTCGATTCTGCAGATACAAATAGTAAATACACACACACTACTACCACTACTACAACAACAAACATTACAACATCTCAATGTCTGTGATGAAGGCTGAAGTGTGGTGCCTGGTTAGGTAAACTCGGTGTGGTGCCTGGTTAGGTAAACTCGGTGTGGTGCCTGGTTAGGTAAACACGGTGTGGTGCCTGGTTAGCGTGTAAGGAGGCAGCCAGCCGCACACATTTTGACAGCCTGGCTCATTCTTCCTGATGACAACGTCACGCCCTGATTTCAAACGTTGAAGTATATGCAAATGACGAGTAATATGATTTGCATGAGGCGGGCGGCAGCGCTGGGGATCTCCGGCACTGAGCAAGCCAAGTCACACATTTAGGGTAAAGAGTTCTTGCCTGAGACGTCAAGTTATCGGATTGTAATTGAGAGCTTCAAGCACATGCAAATAGTGTGTGTGTGTGTGTGTGTGTGTGTGTGTGTGTGTGTGTGTGTGTGTGTGTGTGTGTGTGTGTGTGTGTGTGTGTGTGTGTGAGTGTATACTCACCTAGTTGTGCTTGCGAGGGTTGAGCTTTGGCTCTTTGGTCCCGCCTCTCAACTGTTAATCAACTGATGTACAGATTCCTGAGCCTACTGGGCTCTATCATATCTACATTTGAAACTGTGTATGGAGTCAGCCTCCACCACATCACTGCCTAATGAATTGCAATTATTAACTACTCTGACACTGAAAAAGTTCTTTTTAACGTCCCTGTGGCTCATTTGGGTACTCGGTTTCCACACGTGTCCCCTTGTTCGCGCGCGTATGTGTTTATTGTTGGTATTACTGTGAAGAAAGTTGCTAAGGACCTTCATTACTGTCTGGTCTCCGTGAGACGTATTAACAGTAGCTCGAGGAGTGTAGGATAGATAGATAGATTTATCAGGGGAAAGCACCAAGCCATTACGACTATATAGGACTGGGAAGGGTCAGGATAAGGATTTGGGATGGGACGGGGGGAAGGAATGGTGTCCAACCATTTGGACGGTCGGGGATTGAACGCCGACCGAAGCTTCTGAAGCTCGCTTAGCAGCCTTTAGTTTGAAAGTCTTGCCGTCTTGTTTAAGTCTGAGTTACGAATGAATTAATGAGAGACATAAATACCTTAACTTACATTAAAACTTTTACCCGACCACTGGAACTCGTCGGAACAGCCACGGCCTCGCTTCTTGCAGGTCGGCGTTCGATCCCCGATGATCCAAATGGTTGTGCACTGTTCCTTTACTTCGTTCTCATATGCCAGTTCTTAGTCTAACTGTTTTACGTTACCTTGCTAGACAGTTAAACTGCCAGTTAAACTGCTCATGGAAGATAGTCGGTGTTGTTCCATCTGCCGAGGGAAGGGAATTATTAGGGGGGAAAGCGCCAAGCCATTACGACTATATAGCACTGGGAAGGAGCCAGGATAAGGATTTGGGATGGGACGGGGGGAAGGAATGGTACTGGATTGAACGCCGACCTGCATAAAGCGAGACCGTCGCTCTACCGTCCAGCCCAAGTGGTTGGGAGTCATGGCGGAGTCTGCATTATAACCCTGGAAACACAAACAGAAACTGTCTCTATTTTCCGCTTGTTACAACTTGTAATAAAATTGTTACATCTTGGCTTAACGTGTTAATGACGTATTAGAACGCTGTTACAACTTGCTATATTAGTTGTTATAACTAGTTAGGAAATGCTAAAACTTGTTCGAACGTTGTACCAACGTCGTAGTTTCGGTGTGCGTTTGGCGGGGTTCCAACCCTCTCTCGTGATTTGCCACAACGTACACAATAAGGGGTAATAAAACGCATCACCCACACTCACCTTACCAACGTACACATAGGAAACTTGGAGATTTAGGAGTCGCAACTGTTCACAGTAAGCCATATTTTGTCCGTTAGGACCATAACGTACAAAATGGGACGTATTAGTGGAGAGAAGGTTGTTGTTGTTTAAGATTCGCTCCTTGGAACAAAAAGTTCCAAGTAGCACGGGCTATGGTGAGCCCGTAGTGGACTTTTTTCTTAGGAGAGAAAGTGCTGTTATAAGAGCATAATACAGCATCGTGTCAGCCACACTGTGCTGTCAGTCGGGTCGTGTGAGGCTTCAACAACACCAACTTTACGCTTCACCAGAAGCTTACACATTATTTTCTCGGATATAAGGAGGAAGGAAAGCATGGCTGTGAGGTCAGTCTTGAGGTTATCTTGAGATGATTTCGGGGCTTTAGTGTCCCCGCGGCCCGGTCCTCGACCAGACCTCCACCCCTAGGAAGCAGCCCGTGACAGCTGACTAACACCCAGGTACCTATTTTACTGCTAGGTAACAGGGGCATAGGGTGAAAGAAACTCTGACCAAAGGTATTTCCACTTTTCCAGATTTTTGAGATCCCAACTTGTTTTCTTGATCATATTGTAAGGAGGAGGTAAGTAAGGTCAGGGGAGCCGGTCGGCCGAGCGGACAGCACGCTGGACTTGTGATCCTGTGGTTCCGGGTTCGATCCCGGGCGCCGGCGAGAAACAATGGGCAGACTTTCTTTCACTCTATGCCCCTGTTACCTAGCAGTAGCACCTGTGTACTGTGAATGGCCGCACAGTGGGGTGTCACGACCGTGACACAGCCTTCGCTCACCGTAGGTACACAGCCTTCGCTCACCGTAGGTACACAGCCTTCGCTCACCGTAGGTACACAGTCTTCGCTCACCGTAGGTACACAGTCTTCGCTCACCGTAGGTACACAGTCTT